GCCATCCATCTCAGAAGTTGCATTCAGAAACTAATATACAGATTTGCATCGTCTATACCAAAATAATTGTGCCAAGTTTAATACTACATCCGTTTCATATTATTTGCAACGATTTGATATAAAATGTGACTGAAAAGTATAATCGTTGCAAATAATATGAAACGGAGGTAATATATTTTTGTAAATAATTTTTTTAGGAAATTTTGTATATTTAGGAAACACTCGCCGCGATTACCCTCCTAAACCTTAACCCATAAATTCCACCCAATAGAGTGGCCACCGACACCGCCACCAATCAACGGCGACCCATTTCAGGAAATAGGGATTCGTCATCTGGGATTCTAGAACCGAAATTGAGATTCAAAGGGTCCGAAGTTTGTGCGATTTGTTTTGATAACTTGCCGGCAAAATTTGTGATTTGTTTGTGTGATTTCTTTTGGAGGGTGAAATTTACCGGCGAACCCGGGGTAGGGGCGGCATCGGCGCCGGCGCGGGGTAAGGGAAGGGGGAGGTTGACGGCAAGTGGTAGGAGCGGCGCCCCTATTCTGGCCACTGCGGCTGCTGTAGGGGAGGGGGGTGGTGGGGTGGAGGTTAGGGTGTTTTATGTTTTTTTTAATTAATATAATTAATTAATTGAGAGTTAAAGGGTAATTAGGAAAAATTAGAGGATAATTAGAGTTTTTGGTTGTCTTCAACAAAAAAAATTTAGAATCAGGTTTTAGATTGCCAAAAAAAATTTAAAAGGTTTTTTCCAATAAAAAGAATGTTTTAAATGATATTTTTAGACAAACCAAGGACAATTAAAACAGTGGCGGAGCCAGGATTTTTACCAATGGTAGGGCACCGGCTGTACCTTCTGGAACCCTTTTATCGATCAAGGCTTTAAATCTTAAAAAAAAAAAACAAAATTAAGACACATTTACGTGCCGCATAACAATTGTAAAATAATGTTCTTAATATCAAGATTCAAAATTACTTAACAATTGTATTTGTCAAACCTATATTATTCCAAAATACATCAAATATCACCCCTATTCAAGGCTTTAAACAATGACCCCGTTATTTTTTTTTAGATCTTTTATGATAGGTTCAGAATCACTAGATAGATTTTTCACATCAAATAGCATGATCCAAAATACCAATTACTCCCTTCGTGTTTTAATAAGTGTTACAGTTTGACTTTTTTCACTATTCACATAGTGGTTTTGACTTGATTAATTCACTAATATATAAAAAACAAATGTTATTGTATAATACATCATTAGATTCGTTATAATGTATACTTTTATAATATCAATTTTCCTATAATTTTACTAATATATGATTAGATAAATTAATGGTCAAAGTTGTGTCTCAGCCTGCGTATTTAGTCAAGCTGTAACACTTATTAAAACACGGAGGGCGTATAAGGATATATAACTAATATAATTCAAGTGTACTCATACATGTAAAAAGAAATATAACAATTAAACTTTTTTTCTTTTTTGGACAGGATGGAATATAACAATTAAACTTGACGAGTCTTCAAGTTTTGAAAGCGTATTACTACATCATCAATTTCATTATCTTAAGTAGAAAAGTAATCTTGCTCAATGTGCACAAAGAGAGGGAAAAAAAAATTCTAAGATCATATCATATCACTAATAACTAAAGCCCATCTCGCAGTCAGGCCACAAGACATTGGATCGACATTTGGCATTTCTTCTTTGTAGCTACTGAATAGTCTTCCAATATTTAATTAATTATATAATTTAATAAACCCCTAGTTTCATAATACGTAGTATATTACTATCATGTTATGAAAGCTAGTTTAGCATGTTTCACATTAAAAAACTGATGGAGATGAGGGACTAGGAAGGACCTTGATCAAAGCTCAAACCTTATAGCTTTTTAGTTTTTGATAATCACAAGCCAAACATTTGGAAATAGGGAGAACGTGTAACTCCATGATCGTACATACACTTCCAATTACTCTATAATGTTTGAGACACATACCTCTATATGTAGGATATAAGCTCAACAAGCCAAACCTTGCTTGGTGTAATATGATTTGATTTCTATTGGTGAGCAAAACATGAAATAAACGAGATTCATCTCCATTCATATTTTAAAAATATTAATACTTTTAATTAATGACAATTAAAAATATATACTATTGGTCAAAAATATACATTGCTAAGCTAAGGATAAATAAAATTCGAAGCTATATAAATTCTTGATAAGGTTGAACCATATAGCGGTGTAGGGATTGCATTCATATCTACATTAATTTGACATGTGAACTGTTTAAACATAGTACATTGCTGTTTGTCAGGATTAAGATAAACCCATATCATAGTTAATTAATTATGTAATATGCTACTAGCTTAGGTTAAGTTAGGTGAACATGAAAGCTATCAATTCATATAATTAAGTGCTTTCTCAAAATTCTTTCTATATAAATGGACTTATTATATTTATAAACCATATTAAAGACATAAATCATACTTACTTGCTAATAACACTATAAGCTAAGTTTCATAATAATATTTCTCATCATTAATTCATTTTAAATTAGCCTACAATAATGTATTATTTTGAATTTTTCATGATCATCTTATTCCTTATTTTCTTTTATTTGTTACTTCTTTTATGACCAAAAAGGGCTCCCAACTAATTGGCCTTTTTTTGGAATGCTTCCACCAGTCTTTAAACATATAAACAATATTCATTATCTTTTCATTGATGTCATGGAAAAATCTCATATGACTTTCCATTTTGAAGGCCTTTGGTTCACCAACATGCACGTACTAGCCACCGTCGATCCTGCCAATGTTCACCATATAACGAGCAAGAACTTTGGGAATTATCCCAAGGGGGCCGAGTTTCGTGAGAAGCTCGAACGTCCTTGGAGATTCGATCTCAACCTCGGATTTTGAGGTATGGCAATACCATCGAAAGATGGCTCAGTCTTTCCTTAGTAACCCTAAGTTTAATCAATTTTTGGTAAATAAAACATGGGAAAAAGTGGAAGATGGACTTATTCCGGCCCTTGATCATGTCTCTAAGCATGTTATTGAATTCGACTTGCAAGATTTGTTTGCAAGGTTCACGTTGGATACTATATGTACAATGATCATGGACTACGATCCAAAATCGCTCTCACTCGATTTGCCTAATGTACCATCCCCCCGCGCCTTAGATGACATTGCTGAGGTGATCTTTTATCGCCATGCAGTGCCAACTAACTTTAGTGTGGATTCCAAAGGTGGTTGAATGTAGGAAAAGAGTACAAGTATAACAAAGCTTGGGAAACCCTAAGTTTCATTTACAAGTGCATAGATTTAAGGAAAAATTCATGGGAATAATCCCACCTTTGGGCCATTCGTTTTTAATAATTCCACCTTTGAGTTATTTTTTAATAATCCGACCTTTACCCCCATTCTTTTTTAATGGTCTCATTTTACCAGAAACCGATTGAGTAGGTAATTTTTTTTTAAAAAAAAATGATTAATTTACACGTGTCATTACATAATTGGTCAAAAAAAAAAAAAAATTAAAAACCCAAACCCAATTCAGCCACCACCACTACACTTGACTATATAATATGTACTCCGTACCACATTTATAACCATGTAATATAATTTCATAAATAAGGTTGTTATTTTCCCGACTTTTAACGATGATACCATTCCCTTAATCCTCACATTCTACAAATTTTACCATGAATAGATTTTTTTAAAAGAAAACAAAAATCTAGAACCATTAAATAACGATGTAGACGTACGTACATACATTATATACAAGTAATAATTTACCATGGTACTATGGCAATTATTGTACTATCATACATTCGACATTCATACATGCATCTTTAAGATTATGCAAACAAAAATTAAAATCTATTTGTAAGGTACTCCCAATTTGTCCTAATTTAATCGACGCAATAAACTTTACATAGAATTTAATGCAATAAGTTGTGTTATAACGGATAGGGGAGAAAACAAGGAAGAGAATCCCAGAAGCCCACAAACCAGAGCCCACAGCGAGCTTCCATCCTAAAATTAATTGGCAATAGGAGGAGTAGCCCACTTGGGTTATAAATTAAAAGCCCTTTACTTTCTTTTTCAATGTGGGACAAACACTTCTCACACTTGTACCTAACAACCTCTCCTCCAGTGTGAGCCTACACACTCCCCCTTGAACAGATTCGCACCCAGAACCTACATGCCTAGCTTTAAGGCAAGGCGGCACTCATAGATGGTCCTTAACGCCATAAAACCTAACACAGACGGTGCCCTTATCAGATGATATACCAGATCAAACCTAGCTCGGATACTAGTTTGTTATAACGAATGGGGGAGAACACAAGGAAGAGAAGCCCAGAAGCCCACAAACCAGAGCCTACAGCGAGGTTCCATTCTAAAACCAATTGGCAATAGGAGGAGTAACCCGTTTGAGTTATAAACTGAAATACTAATAGTACCAAGTGGACACTTATTATTGTTATTTATGACGAGCGTAATTGATAAACCAAATTAATACTTCATACTTGTATAAATAATTAGTTGGCATCCACAAATAATAAGGATATTTAGGAGCACATGTATAGAATATATTACAAAGACGAGGATACGGTTGATAATAAATTTTACGAAAACAATATGCAACTAACTTTTACATCGATTGTCTTTAGTTATGTCGTTGCTCGTTGTATTAATGCGTAGTAACAATAATGTTAAACATTATTGGATTTGCATTGCAATTTGCATACAATAAAACAAAAAAAATTTATTGGATTTGCGTTATTACATTTTACATATTAATGAGAGTGAGGGATAACTCAAGTGGTTAGAGCTCCCCTCTCGGTTCCAAAAGATCTAAGAATCAATCCTCATCATCCGCCCTTGTGGCTTTCTAAACACTACAAAATAATAAATAAAAAAATAAAAAAAACTTTTTACATATTAGTACAAAAATGATTGGGTACGTAGAAAAAGAGGATGAAGACACTGACACGATGTAAAACATTTCTATATATGCTCGAACTACCATTGTACAATATTCAAAAGGAAGCTTTTATAATATCCCAAATTCCATAAAATTCTAAAATACTTTTCAAAGGCTTGAAAATTCTTGGTCTATAATTATTATTATGAGTACTAAAACACTATTATTTCTAGGAAGCTAAAATACTTTTGCTGAAAAAAATGGAGTTTCTTGTTATCTTCATGATATTTGTGTCCTTTTTCTTCCTTTGCTACCTTTTTCGCAACAAAAATGGCATTCCTACTAATTGGCCTATAGTAGGGATGTTGTTTGCACTACTCGTAAACGCTCATCAAGTTCACGATTGGCTAACCGAATTGTTAGAGAAATTAGATATGAATTTCCTCTTTAAAGGCCCTTGGTTAGCCAATATGAAGATGTTTATCACACTTGATCCTGCAAATGTGCACCACATTATGAGCAAGAACTTTACAAATTATCCTAAGGGAACCAAGTTTAATGAAATGTTCGACGTTTTTGGGGATGGCATCTTCAATGTTGACTCCGATTTGTGGAAGTTACATAGGAAAATGGCGCATACTTTCATTGGTGAACCTAAATTTCATCGGTTTTTGCACGATAAGGTTTGGGAGAAGGTAGAGAAAGGTCTAATCCCGGTCCTTGATCATGCGTCGAAACAAGGGTTAGTAATTGATTTGCAAGATTTGTTTTATAGATTTTCGCTTGATACTATTTGTACTCTAGTTACGGGGTGTGATTTAGGATCTTTATCTATCGATTGGCCTCATGTTCCATTTGCAAACGCGTTAGATGATGCTGAGGAGGTCATATTGTATCGACATTTCGTTCCTATGAGTGTATGGAAGTTCTTTAGGTGGCTTGGGGTAGGAAACGAAAAGAAGTACAAAAAAGCTTGGGAAATACTTGATGATTTCGTCTATAAATGCATTACTAAAAAAAGAGAGGAGAAAAAACAAGAATCAATGAAGCCTCAAGTTGGTGTCGATTTATTGACATTATACATGGATGAAAGCCAAAGTATAAATGTTACAAGTGTTAGTGACAAGTTTTTAAGAGACACTATACTAAGTTTTTTCATAGCAGGACGAGACACAACTAGTACTGCTTTATCATGGTTCTTTTATCTCCTCTCTAAGAACCCGCGAGTGGAATCCAAGATCCGAGATGAATTAAGCACAATGGAGACGATCCATGATTACCACAAGTTAATTTATGTTCATGGTGCATTATGTGAGGCCTTAAGATTGTACCCTCCTGTGGCTTTTGAACAAAAGGCCTCAGTTGAGTCGGATGTACTTCCAAGTGGCCACCAAGTTGATCCGAATATGCAAATTATATTCAACATGTACGCGATGGGAAGGATGAAGGCGATATGGGGAGATGATTGTTACGAGTTCAAGCCAGAGAGATGGATATCTGAACGAGGGAACATTCGACATGAACCATCCTACAAGTTCTTAGCCTTTAATGCCGGGCCAAGAACTTGCCTAGGTAAAAATATGTCCTTCTTCCAAATGAAGGCCGTTGTTGCTACAATAATTAAAAACTACACGTTCCAAGCAGTTGAAGGACATCAAGTTGTTCCCGATATCTCTTTGATTCTTCGTATGAAGCATGGATTCATGGTTAAGGTTTATCATTCTCCATAAGGAAAACATCTTATTAGGTGTGTGTAAGATTTCTCTTACATGTATTATTCATCTAATTGTGCTTTAGGCGTATGTTTAGATCATCATTAAGATGATTTCCCTTAAATAATTGGTGTTTGTAAGATAAGGTAAGGTAAGGTATGTTGAGTTGCTTTTATGTATGTGGCTTTGTCATTCATGTGTCTTTAAAGTCATATGCCTAGCTAGGTGTTTACGCATTTGCGTGCTAGCGATGTGGATGTATGATTGGAGAACTCTCGTTCATTTATGTATAAAATGATTTTATTAATGTTATATAATACGCTTGACACACGTAATACAAGCTAAATAATAACATAAAAAAAAAAAAATATTAAAAGTTATGGTCTAAAAAACTTTTGTTTACATCCATTCACCTTAAAAGACCAACTACATTTAAGCCAAGGATACCACGTACAACTAAGTGAACTAACACAAAAATATGATCCAATCTAAGATCTACATTAGAATAAATCAAATTACTAAGCATTTTTTTAGTTGTCTTATCAAAAATAATGAATAAAAATCAAATTACTTCTGTTTTTGTTTTACTATTATTTTCTCCTATTACTTTATCAATAGCATTTGACGTTTCTGAAGGAAATGGTGGAAATTCTATTGTAACATCACTTTTTAGTTCTTGGGATAAGGTTAAATACCTTTTGCAGGAGTTACAAAAGAAATATTTACCTCCCAATTTGGAGTAAGTTGTTTTTTTTTTTTTTTTTTTTTTTTTTTACAAAATTTTATCTCAATAAGAATATAGTAATAGGAGTAAATTGTCAAATGCAGATTAAATTTTTTTTAATATAAATATACTTTTTTGATGTTATTGGTTGAAGTTTTACTTGTATGTGTTTATTTGCGGATAATAAAAATTAAGTTTTCCTCAATACTCATAAATTCAATTAAACTACATATTTTTTTTTCCCTTAGTTTTTAGCATAGATTTCTAGAATTCAGCTTGATTCGATAATTGAACAATTCAAATAAAAATTAAGTTTTCCTCAATACTCATAAATTCAATTAAACTACATATTTTTTTTTTCCCTTAGTTTTTAGCATAGATTTCTAGAATTCAGCTTGATTCGATAATTGAACAATTCAATTAATAATGAAATTAGGTATGTAGTTTTTGGCGATACAAGATGGTCTTGTAACGAAATATATTGTGCTTAATGCGTCTCATAATGAAACACACACATTCTATCTCAAATTACTTGTATAAGGATTCTCTCATCGTCTCTATGAAGATAATTTACTAATAACATATGTTGCGCGCGCGCGCACACACACACACACATATATATATATATATATATATATATATATATATATATATATATATATATATATATATATATATATTTAAAATTATGGGAAGGTGCATCAAATTCTCGAATGAATATAAGAAATTTCACTAGGAAACCCTTTAAAACAATATCAAAGACTATCAAAACATATAATCGATAAAATATTTTTATATTATCTTAACAAATAGGATGGACTAATTAAATGTATTATTGATATTATGTTGTTGGATTAGTTTCAGGATCCAAGAGAAAGATGGAGCCGATAAATTTGAAAGACACGATTCGAGTAAACGAATAAGAATGGCAGCAAAGAAGAGTTTCGAAGAAGGAGAGGCGACATTCGAAAAAACAGCTGAATCCGCAGCCACAGTAATGGATCATGCAGTGCATAAGGCAAAGGATAAGGTGGAACACAAATTTTCTCATCATAGACATGGAAGAGAAGCTGATGATGACCTCTAAATCAATTTAATTTAATTAATTTGCTAGCTAATCTTATAAATTTGTTTTCCATGCATTATTTTACCATAACATTATGTATGTAACAACAAGCATTATTTCACATTTCTACTAATATAAATATTACTCTATTGGTGAATTAGGCTCTTCCGCAATTTATAAACAATTATAATTTTTATCATTATGCATTAATGATGTAATTACTTCTAACCTAATTTTTTTTTATAATTTCCAAATTAAATAAATCTGATCCTTTAAAGGTTTTTTTTATCCAAATATACGTTTTACTAGAGATATATAGGCCTGATTACATTACATTTGATTTTTTTTTTCTTTTTTCTTTTTTTTTTTTTGAAAACCATTACATTTGATTTTTTTAATTTCATTATATCTTACAAAAAAAAAAAAAAAAAAAAAAAATCAAAATTTGGTATCTTTTTTTGAATATTTTCTGTTATACTTGAAACTTTATCCTTCATATTTTGAAAAAGTCCTATCCTAATTTTATATCCCATATTATTTTCCTAATTTGTTATACATAATATTTAATTTTATTTTTATGTTAGTTATTATCTTTTCTAAATATTCCGAAAAAAATATCCAAATCTTTTTCAGTTTCATTAATCGAAACTCTAGGAGACTAGGAAACAGAAACCAAGATTATCTTAGCTTGGATTGTAAGTCAGGTTAAAACCTAACCTACACCTTTATAAACTAAGGTCCAAAACTAACTTTCTCTTGGAAAAATTGAACTGCTCTTCTAAATCAAATAACCCTAAATTTTCTCTCTTTGAACCACAAATTACATCACCCTTTACCTTCATGGATTGCAAACCCACAAAAAATCAATCAGATTCATCCAAAATCACTCGTTTCAAGCCGTCTTCAATTTTCTTTCCTGTGCATTGATAAAAAGTTGATCACTTTTTGATACATTCTTTAAAAGTACTCAAGAAAGAGTTAATTTTGTTAGTTCAATCAAATCATGGGTTCGAGTTCAGGGGTAGACAATGTCGATGAGCTTGAGGATGAGGGTGTTGAGACGGATTCGACAGGGCGGTATGTAAGGTTCGAGGAGGTATTGGGAGAAGGGGTGTTTAAGAAGGATTACAAGGGGTTTGATGAGTTGAAAGGAATAGAGATTACATGGAGTAAAGTTGAGTTGTCAGAGAAAATATTCGAGTCAGAAGAATGTCAGAAGAATGTGAGTGCAGAAGTTAGTCTGTTGAAGTCTTTGAAGCATGAGAACATCATGAGGTGTTACCATTCATGGGTCGATAGCGAAACGAAGACAGTAAACATAATTACTGAATTGTCTACCTCTGGAACTATGAGTCAGTATCGCAAGAAACATAATCTTGTTGATAAAAAGGCTATCAAGAATTGGGCTAGACAGATTCTGAAAGGGTTAGATTACCTGCACTGTCAGAATCCTCCTATTATTCACGGAGATCTTAGCTGTGATAACATCTTTGTGAATGGATACTCTGGCAAGGTTAGAATCGGAGATGTTGGACTTGCGGCGATGCTTCAAGAAGACACTACAGCTCGCGCTGCTAGTGGTAAGCCTGAGTTCATGGCACCAGAGCTTTTCAGAGAGGAGTATGATCACCTGGTGGATATCTATTCTTTTGGGATGTGTTTGTTGCAGATGGTCACCCGGGAATTGCCGTATACTGAGTGCAGTAACTCAGATCAGGTTCATAGGAAGGTGAGATCTGGAATCAAGCCTGCTATTCTAAGCAGAGTGACAGACCTGCAGTTAAAGCTTTTCATAGAAAAGTGTTTGGGTCCTGCATCAGAGAGACCGTCAGCAATCAACCTTCTGAATGATCCGTTTCTTGCACTGGTGACTGATTCTGGATTGTCTGCGGCATCTCGAACTCCGAGTCTGAAATCAGAATCTGTGTGTTCATCTTCTGTAACATGGGATCAAGTGCCTAGTCCACCTGATACATCATCTTATAAATCGTGTGATCACGTGGCTAGCTCACCGGTTGTTTCTCTTGTTGGCCCATTGAAGGCTGTTGTCAGTGAGAATATCGAGTGCAAGTTAGAAGGGCAGCTGATCAAGGAGATCGACTACATATCAATGGTTCTTCGGATTGGTGACAAGAGAGGTCATGCTCAAAAGATCGAGTTTGTGTTCTCTATAAAAAAGGATACAGTTCACTTGGTTGTGCAAGAGATGATGAAGGAGCTCCAGTTGTCAGTCAGAGAAGCAGTCCTTGTAACTGAGCTTATGGAAAATCTGGTTAGGAAACTTGTAAACCCGGAGGCAGAATCTTCATCATCAGAAAATAATGTCAGCCAACCCAACGAGCCTGCAAAACCGCCTAGTGACACGAACCAGGACGCCCAATTACTTGCATCCAAGAAACTAAGTGAACATGATCGTGCTGGCAAATCACGGCTAGCTAATTCAACTGGTCAAGACAAGCAAGTTACAGGTAGCAGAGAAGGCAACAAAAAAGAGGTAGCCAAAACAAGTTCGAGATCGTTGAAGAAGCTGTTATTCTTTTGTGGGAACAAATTTTAGATTTAGATTGAATTTCCAGTGTAGTAGCAGTTCTTGTTAGTTGCAACACAAGTTATGTACACTACACCAATTACGTAATATGATCCACTTTTAATTAAAACCTGTTATGACTATCATATATATATATATATTTTTTTTTTTTTTTTTTTTTTTTGAGGTATCTATCATGATATTCAATTTTAATCAAAGCCTGTTATGACTATCATTAAATTATTGAAAAGTAATCAATTTGTACCAATACTGCTGAACAGTAAATTACTAATTAGCCATAGTCATCTTGCCTTATATCAATTGCCAACCAATTATGCAGATAAGCAATTTTAACAGAGGATATATTATCTGTAAAATCATTCAAAAAATTAAGCAAAAAGTACAAACTCGATTAAGCAGTAAGCTAAATATTTTTCAAATATTAACAGCAATTCCTGCTTCTATCAATTTCAGCACACTAAACAACCACCTTAACCTTTCAGAAACAAAATCCAATGGTTCCTACGTCCTAGAGAGTTTAAGACATTCACTTTGACATCTTCGAAGACAAACATCATTCCAGTTTGGAACATGATGCTGATTGACACAAACAGTTCGTGCACAAGCATCAGTGCATGCATCGAGTTCTGAGACTCCGCAGACAGTGACACAAGTATCAGGGATTGGATCCTTAGAGAAAGCACCAACCTTCTTCAACATACGTTTTGAGGTGCAAACCCTTTCACAAACGAATATGTCATCTGAGCTCTTTTCCCGGCCCCTTGCACTCTTAATCCTCTGCTCCTCATCCCGCCTTCTCTTAATTCTCCAGGCTTGCCCTGCAACAACAGCTGGAATAGCAGCACCCAAAAGGGACCACCAAACTTCCACCATGGTATTGCGATAATTGAGCTTTTTCTTCTTTTATACCTCAACTCTTGCACTAGGCTTTAAGCTGCATTTCACAAAAGAAAAACATTAGCAACAAATAACCAACCAAGTTCATAAGTTGATCATAATGGTAATTCAAGAGAAATCTTCATAGATCATGCACAAAAAAAGTTGGACCAGAAAACATGCATACAGTAGGGCATCATCATTACTTCAAGATGTAAGATATTAGAGCAGTAGGGCACAAAATAAGTTGAACCAAAAACAGAGTCTTTGAAAGAACAGTAGTATGACACAATTGCTTGACAAGTATCTTTGTAGTGCTTGCAAAAAAAATCAAACTGAATAAATTATGGCTTTACATATCACGAATATTCTTCTTTTGACAATAAACCATTCGCCTATATCTATTGATAATTTGACAGTCCAAACAATTTTCTCCAAAACTGGCTGTAGGTAGATTGTACAAAAGCTACCTATACAATAACTCCAATACTCCCTCAACTCCTCAAGGCAATCAAGTAAATCAGTATAGACAAATTTAATACATCAGGATTAAGAATAAAGTTTAAGATGAATGAACAAGTAACAGCAAATCCAGCATGAATCATTAACCTATCAATATCAATTCTTGAAACAAAAATAATAAGATCCAACAAAAAACCAATCAAGTGTGGATGTGTTATGCTACATGTAGCAAATTTCCCAGAAATTATAATCACACAGCAATGCCATTTCAGCCATTTGGGCATACTACTCACCAACTGCACCATATTATGGCTTTGAGAGGTCCAATATGACTTAAACCCATAGCCACTAACATCAATAAACACACTCTGCACTTATCTATATGACAATAAGCAACATTAATAATAGCTATCACAAGAACTCAATCTCAAGTTTTACCCAGTAATCCAGTAGACCATTATAGAACCTGTGCAACCATGACATAAACATAATTTACCCCAACATCCCCAAAGTGCCTTGCGCTTGTTGAGACAAAATTTCTAATCACACCCTTGACTGAAAAGTCATTTATAACATGCTATACTATAATTAAAAAGCAGAGTATATTGAATTGTAGATAGCTACTTTAGTTCAAACTAACCCTACACTGAAAATTGCCCACAGGCTAGTTTGACTTTAAAATAATAAATACTTTAGAAGAGATATCAGTGAAGTTTTGAACATCAGTCATTCAGTGGTCACATGCCAATTCTACAGTTCCCCTTAATAATAACAAAAGCACAAACATTTTACCAGAAAATGCCAACTGCAACCCAAATGTATAATTATATTCAACAACCTTCTCACAACATTTGCACAAGAACACATTTTAAGAGCTTGACTGATCTCATGTTCGGCCACAAAATTACATACTGAATATATCATTCAGGATCCTATATCACTAAATCAATACATTTATTCAACAAATATTTCCTGTAATAGGCTAGAGAGTAGTGATCAGTCAGTAATATCCAAGATTCCTCAAGCCATAATAAAATATCAGCTAATCACTCAAACAATTCACCTAAATTTAAACCCAACATTTACCCTAAAGCCGCAAACAACTAAACTAAATTTGGGGTACGGGATATAGTTATCCCTAAATCAACAATTCCCAGCATCTGAGACTCTGCCCCCATTTTTTATTTGCTAAGGAAATCATTCCCACATTGGAGTCATCACTTAATTCACTGCCAAAAGAACATTTCCTTATACAAAGGCCAAGGGAATCCGTCACCTTATCCAATTTTATTCAAAACCATACAACGGTTTCAGTAATATCCTATGCATAAACTACAGTCTGATACCATAAATTCAGCACAATAAGATATCACAATGTCCTCGGTAAAATTTGACGGCATCTTCATAAGACCTTTGGCTAAAGTTTCTCAGTGATCACAGACCATGAACTTTATATTATACGGAGTAATTAAAGTTAATCAATTCTAAATTTAAATTAGTAGACGAAGAAAAATTAAGTTACCATCGCAATTCGCAAATATGATAAACATTATTTACCAAAAATTTTCAACAACAAAAAACTACGAAAGTAACTAACAGAGGCAAATTTATTCGATATAACTTCAAAAATCAAGGTTATATCAATGGCATTAAACTCAACTATGCTTGTAAAATCAAATGCACTGTTCTATCTTCAAATTGAAAGTGATGCCCAGCACCATTATCATACAATAAAACACTGCAATTTCGAAGAATTACCCAAATTGAGGAAACCTAATTACACAAACACCAAACAACCTTCTTCTCCTCAGAAAAAATACCCAAATTTACAACAATTAAATTACAATTCAGAAATTCATAGCATAGAATTTAAACCCTAGAAATTGACAAACAGCGTAGTATTTCAGCTTTAATTGGAAGAGGATAAGAGGATAGAAAAGAGAGATATACCAGGGCAAGAACAAAATGATGGTGTTAGCGGCGGAGGAGGAAATATCGCCGGAATTGATAGCAGACGGCGGCGGCGGAGAAGGCCGATAAGAGGGCGGGGGTGGAGGAGGAGAGAGAGTGAGGGAGTGTTGTTAGTGGAAATGGAAGCGGCGTTTGAATTTTTGCGTCATTATAAAAGATCCCGAGTTATATACCGCATTTTGCTAAATGAAGGTAGAGGAGTTAATTTTACAAATATACACCTTAACAAATCTTACGTGATTAATTCACATTTGACTATAGCTTAGCACTTATGGTGACGAATCAAACTCAAATACCTCGTCTTAAAATAACTTGATTAACTTTGAAATGTATCAAAATTAGGAAACTTTGGGATGAAAAAAAATTGATTGACGAACCAACTTAAACTCAAACTCGAAATCAGGTGTTTGAATCAAGTCATGTTTTATTATTCCGATTTTATTGTCGATATGGTTATTGTGATCAGATATGTGTCCATTCAGATTTGGTTGGATTGGTTTGAATCAAGTCAAAATTAGACGAAGACATCAAGAAAATTTTAATTTCAGACTTCAGTATGTGTATCTAGGGTCGGGTAATTAAGCTTGCGTTAATTTTACAAGTCTACAACTAAATCGAGCTAAAAGCTAATTATTGAGTTTGAAATCATAATTTATCGTATCTTGTTATTGTAGGGGCCCTAGGGGGTAGGCAAAGTGCTAGAGCCTAGAACATTTTAAACTTTGCCTTCTATGGCATTCAATTCAGGCTAGCAAATTTGCTAAGCACTTGGACTAGAAGAGGTATTTGTAAAGGAGACTGCATAGAATCAATCCTACATGCTTCGTATATATCATGCATGAGATGCATCCTAGATTGGAAATTTTCCATTTTTTTTTTTTTTTTAATTTATTTACTTTGGCCTAAAGGCCTAAAGAGTAACAAAGCCTATTATATGGATATATGCCTCAACTCAAGTGTACATTGAGCCTATAGTACAACGTACCAGGGTAATAGGGTTACTTTTATACCTTAAGTTAGAAGAGATTTCTTATAAAATAGCTAGACTTCCTAGGATTATTAATTCAATATCCTTGTTTAGTTCAACTTATTTTTACTTATTTCAGAAAAAATAAGTTCAGATCAGATCAGAAAAAATAAGTTCAGATCAGAACATCGTTTTATGTGCGGTTTTTTATCGCTAAATATTCTTAATTTCGTAATGAAAAAAATTGTGAAAATTACATATTAATAAACTACACATTATTACGAATTTAACAAGATCTCACTTGATATATTTTTTTCTTATAGATTATCGTACATTTAAGGTCAAAGTTTGGTCAAATCAGACAATCAGATCAGATCAGATGAGATCAGACCAGACCAGACCAGTAAAAATAAGGTGAACCAAACAAGGTCAAATCTACATACACCAGCTTAATTTACGAGTTTGTAAGAGGTAAAAGCCAACAAAATTTCATGGATGACAGAATTTGAAATTAAAATAACATACTAGTAAAGACAAACAATGATCACGCTCATGTGCTATTTATCTATCTCCTCTCCTTCTATATTAAACAAAAAGATTTGGAAATTCTGATAAGCTTCAATTCTGACATAGAAATTGGATGAACAGGGTGTACATACTAACATACATAACAATTAACATACACACTACTACAAGTACAAACGAAATGCAGAAGCAGGAATACTACTACAAGTACAAACGACGTTTACAAGGAGGGAGCGGAGCACCACACAGGCCAGGATTACCCGAAAATGCAGAAGCCAGAAAGCTTGTGTTGTGGGGAGGTATTCTTCCACTCAATTGATTATTTGAGACGTCAAGAACTTGCAATTTCTCCAAATTCAACACCTTCTTCGGAATACTTCCTGAAATGTTATTACCAGACATCTCTAACACTTCTAGTTCTATCAGCTTCCCTAACGATTTTGGAATGGTTCCTCCAAGTGGGTTATTAGACAGTTTCATGGATTGTATGTAAGCAATTGTCGGCTTCTTACCTATGTCTTCATCAAGGGGACCTGTGAACATATTGCTAGACACGTCGAGGTAGGAGTATGTGACTTTTCTATTAAAAATGTCTCTTAAAGAGCCAGAGAAGTTGTTTGAGTGAAGATCAAGGTTCTTGAGGGAATAACTACTTGTGAGATACTTTGGAATTGTGGAGTAAAATCTGTTATTGGATAAGTTAAGGGACTAGAAAATATATATTCCCTATCCATGATGGCAACTTCCCTGTGATTTCATTACTCGATAAATCGAGGTGAACGATGGATCCAGAGGAAGACATTGATTGTGGCAACTCCCCTTTGATCCCTGCCCCAGCTAAATTAATATTTTTCAACTCGTAATAATGAAACAACCAATCTGGTATGTTCTTTAACCCCAGTGGATTATACGATAAATCGAGGTTGCTGTCTGAGTTAAAAAATGTTGTGTTAGCAAGCTGAGGAGGTAGAGGGCCAACGAGATGATTGTTAGACAGTTGCAAAGAATTGAGTCTGAGATTGTCAAAACTTGGAGGTATACGACCAAAAAACCGGTTATTAGAGAGCAAGATATCATACAATGCAGTTAGATAGCCAATAGTTGGTGGCAACTTTCCTGTGATCTTATTGTTCTCTAACACTATTCTTTGAATCTTGGTGAGATTGCCTATGGAATAAGGTAACATACCGGTCAATTTATTGTTACCGAAATTTAAAACCTCCAATGAAAAAAGGTTAAATATGGAAGAAGGAATAGGTCCGGTGAGTCTATTATGGTCAAGGTATAGGTTTCGCAATTGGGAGAGTTTACCTACAGATCTTAGTATGACTCCAGTAATTTTGTTATGGTCAAGATGTAATTCCTGCAGCTGAGAGAGTTTAACTACAGAACTCGGTATGGTTCCAATGAGTTTGTTATAGTTGAGAAATAATGCTTGTAATTTTGAGAGGTTATTACCTATGGAATCTGATATGTTTCCGGTTATATGATTGTATGATAAATCTATGTAGGTAAGGTTTTTAAGTGTAGTAATACCGAGTGGGATCGAGCCAGAGAGATTATTTCTTGTAAGATAAATCTTTTCAAGCGAAATCAGATTAGAAATCGAAGATGGTATTGAACCTGTAAACTGGTTTCCCTCCAATTCCAAAGTCAAGAGTGACTTCAAGGAGCGAAAGAGAGAGTTGGGTATGGCACCTGAGAGGCTATTGTTGCCTAGGCTGAGGTATTGTAGCTTATGAAGGTTACCAAGTGAAGAAGGGATTGAACCATTTAGTTGGTTATTGGTTAGCCCAAGACCAACTAAATGTGACAACTTCCCTAGTTCGGGAGGGATAGGACCACTTAACCCTACTTGGTCTTTAAAGCCAAGGTATTGAAGATAGGTAAGATTGCCGAGGAAAGGGGAGAGTGTACCTTCTACGCCGAAGTTGCGATCAACACCACCTTCATCGCGAAAGCTAAATAGGTAGACTTGGACTACCCTTCCATTCGCTGGATCACAGCTCACACCTTGCCACTCTACACAACAATCGGTGTTAGGAACCCAAGTATCTAGTTTACGAAAAGGTGGGAAATCATAATTGACCCCACGTTTGAAATGAAGCAATGCCTCTTCATCTATGGGATCACAGGATTCTACTACTCTTAGAGGACATGATATGCTGTTAATAACAAATATTATGAAGAAAATGTGATTAACTATGACTGTAACAGAGTTTTTCTTAAGGTTTTCCATTATTGGAGATTATTCAGTGATGCTTACTTGCTTACAATGATAAGGAAGCAGGCTTGCATCTCTTTATATAGCTACTTAGATTACGGGCTAATTAAGACTTCATCCGTCCCTCGATGATCTCATCATCTGCCAAATTTTATGAGAATTAAGAAATAAGAGTAGAAACTAGAAAGTACATAATGTACATTGAAACGAGTGAAGTGTACCAGAATTGTGTGTTGTTCACAACTAGTAAGTACTCCCTTCGTATTTTATTACTAGCTCCACTTTTCTTTTATGGCCGTATTTTATTACTTGCTCCATTTTTTTTTTTGAAACTTTTAATAATATTTTACTATTTTCCTCTCCACAAGTGGTCCCATCATATCATATTTTAATATTTTTCATATTCTCTCTCTTCCTAACTTATACTCACTTTTACTTTTTTAGATTTTTTTATTCTTCAACCAACCTTATTTCTATCATATTTTTTTTACTTTTTACTATTTATCCTAAAACTCCGTGCAAAGAAAAATGGAGCAAATAATAACGTGCGGAGGGAGTATATGAAATAAGAATAAAGTATATATGCATAGGTGGGTACAAATATTTATTTAGAGGAAATATAAAACTATTTTAGGTAATTGAACGAATAAAAACAAAAGATGTTGAGGATAACTTGGTCTTTTCAGAGTGTTTAAAAATTGAAAAATAAATACTCCCTCCGTTTTTTTTTTTTTTTGCATCACTTGCAAATATACGAAGTTTTAGGAGAGTGAAATTGATATAGTATAATAATGTGGATGGACGAATAATTTATTATATAGTAAAGTATTGTTTTTTTTAAAAAGGTAAGATAAATGAGCCTACTAAACCAGCACCTCTCACAGGTTTAGCCAGTCTAGCTCTGCAGGTCAGGGGCGCTTGAGAATAGAGGGGGAGGTAAGGGAACCCCCCTACTCCCAAGCATTTTGTAGTTAGTGGGGCTCGAACTTGTGACCTCAAAGTCACAAGGTGGTGAGTTCCGCACCAACTCCACCAAACTTTGCTTGGTTTATAGTAAAGTAATGTGGGGATCATGAAAATGAAAGTATGTGTGAGAGAGTAGTGGGGACTATGAGAGAGAAAAATGATAAATTAATTTGAGTGGGGTTTAAAGTAGGTGAGAAAAATAATAAAATATACTCGTTCCGTTTTTTTAAATACATCAGTTTGACTTTTGCATTATTCACATGTCATGTTTGACTTATTTTTATTGCTATTATAAAATAAATAAATATTGTTATTATATAATACATCATTTGATTCGTCACAATGTCTACTTTCATAATATAATTTTGTTACAAATTTTAATAATAGACAATTAAAGATAATAATGCTCAAAGTTACGTCTTGGAAAATGTGTCGGTCAAACTGATGCATTTAAAAAAACAGAGGGAGTAGTATAAAGTTACTATATATCGAAGTGATGCAATTAAAAAAAACACTCATTTAAGGAAAGTGATGCAAATAAAAAAAAAACAGAAGGAGTACTAAACGAGAACAACATTTTGGAACGCCTAAATAAAAAATTGAAAGATCATTCAAGGGCTGAAAGAGTACTTGTTTTATTTACATCAATTGTACGAAGTATTTGAGGTAGGAGGTTAGAGTAGTTGGCTAATTATTCTACTTTCAGACGTGACACCAAAGGTCGAATCTTACTAAGCACATTCTAGGAGGGATTTTTCTTATAACAATTAAAAAAAAAAAAGGTATATTTATTGGCAATTTGCAGTTGCAACTTGCAAGAGCTGAGGATTTATTTAATCGTACAATTTTTAGGCAATTGGCAGTTGCAACTTGCAAGAGCTGAGGGCTGATGCTGCCAAGAACTTTCACTTTCATGCTGCAGACACTAAGCCACTAGCCCATGTTACAACTCAATCTTCTCTTTCCATATTAATATAGGTCATAGTATGACTTTTACGATTTATCTTTCCAATTACGAAGTATATTTGAAAAGTATACACATACTTATTACATCGTATCCATAAGGAGTTTGTAAATATTAACCATCAATTTTTAATAAACAATCTAAACCTGATACAGTGCAACTCTGTACACTCTGTAGCAGCACACAGAGGTACTACACTGAAATTATCTCACTGGATATTCAATGAGTATTTAAGTGATGTAATAGAATTTAAGAGAATGAGAGAAAAGAATAGAGAGAGAAAGAGAGGGGGATAGATAGAGAAAGGAGAATTGTTTTTCGTCTATATTCACTGCTATTCCTTACATCAGCTTAAGTAGTAGCCAAGGATTAATTACAGCCATAATCTTAAAACAGAAAATATTCCCTTAATAACAACTTTGCGAGAAAAAGGAACAACTAAGCAAAAAGGACAACTAAGCAAAAAGATTCTAACAGAAATAGCTTCTAGAAACTTATAATATTTTCTGATCACATTATTCTTCCTGTATCAAAACCGTTTAAGGGGCATTTGGTTTGCGGAATATAGGTATGAGTTATGAGAGCCGATTATGTACACTCGGATGTACTGGACACCCGGGTCATTTGCTCATTCAATCAACAAATGAGTAAAATATTATTTGCTCATTTGCAGATTGAATGAGCAAATGAGCTCAGGTGTACTGTACACCCGAGTGTGTATAACAAATTCTAATGAAGTATGAGATTAGAATGACTAAAACTCATATCATATGTTTGGTTGTCAAGAGTATGAATTTTAAACCCATACCTAAAAACATGAGGTATGGGGTAGGGAACGTGAGTTTAGATCATTTCATTCCCTTAGGTATCAAATAAAAGGATGGGATAGTGAGAGATTTCATTCCAACATTGAACCAAACACATGATATTAAGTATCAAATTCTAACTCTATACCACCTTAGGGCATGTTCGGCGCTAGCTTTTAGTGGTTTGACTTGGTCAAACCAAGACTTAACAAAAAAATGTGAGTGTTTGGTAAAGTAGTGTTTAGAGTAGCTTTTAGTGGTGGAGGTAGCTTTTATGAAAAGTTAAATTATTAGCTTTTGAAGTTAGAGGTAGCTTTTGAGGTAGCTGTTGAAAATTTAATATATATATATATATATATAACAACTAGTCAACCACTAATTTACCGAACACTCATACTTAAATTATCTATCTTCACAGCTACCTACACAGCTAACATCTACCTTCACAGCTAACAGCTACTTACACAACTATATTTTGTCAAACACGCCCTTAACCTCATTCCTAATTCCAAACTCATACCACCGTACGAACTAAACGCCCCCTATAGGTTTGACTATGAAAAATAAAAAATATTTTTTTAAAAAAAAAATTATTCAATTTACAAAATTTGTTGGAGCAATTATATTCTTTCAAGTTAATTTCCACATGTAAAGATCTTAGCATCCCAAGTACATATACTACGTAAGTACGTATACGTATAAGATTTCCCTCTTATCTTGATGAAAAATTGATATTCCCTTCGTCCTATTAACTTTCCATCTCTCTTAAGCTTGTATAGAGTAGAATTTAAGAGAGTATTGGGGATTTGGGGGTGACTTTTTGTTAGATAACTCGTAAAGTCGTACAAGTTAACAAAAAATAAGTGGGTATTGTTATTATTTTTCAACTGAAGTAAGAGAAACTGGAGGCTACAGTTATTTAATTTTTTTTTTTTTTTGGACAACGGTCCAAAAAGAAGGCTAACTCCCAACTGACTCAAAACTATAAGGGAAATACTTGACTCTCTTAACCAAACTAATACAAGAACTAAAAGGGGATTAGGGTTACAGACACTATGAACTGCTTGACAAAGTAAATAAGGGGATTGAGAAGTTCCATCGCCGAAATTAGTTATAAGTTGTTCCAAACTTGTTTCCTTGTGTTTCTTGATCCTATAAAAACAAAAACTGGGATACCTTTTACCTTTCTTGTTCTTCACCCTTGACATGACAGTCCTTCCATGTTTTCTTGGCGTGGCAGATAACATAAAGGTAAGGCGTGGTGGAGAAGACTGCACATGGTTGGGATCAACAGTCATGGGGTCTGCGTCATTAGAACGTACGGACTCCACTTCATCAATGTTAGTGGTGGTTAAAGCTCTCACATGTATCTCGCTCCCCTCCTTGATGTCTGACCCCTCATTGCTGCTAGGATTTAGGTTAGTGGTTGATCAACTAACTTCTCCACGACAGCGATGTTGGGCTTAGGAAGACCATTAGACCAACAACATGGATGGCCACGGCGGCATCCAGGGGTCGCTTGGCCTTGTTCCACTTGCCTTTTCTATCGCGACTCCTCTTTTTTGGACCCACCATCCTAGTGTGCGTGGCCAAGGTTTCTGGAGTTTTGTAGTCCTTAGCCTTGTGAAATTCAGCTCTCCCATTATAGGTGGTTTTTTCCTTTACTCGTACAGTCATCCATGAAACATCAGAATGTTTGAAGAAACTTAAGGGACTAATTACTTCTCGAACTGTTGAGGAACATATGAAATTTCCCCGATCTCTTCTTCTTAATCATTGGATGTATTGATAAGGCTTTCTATTGTCATCTAATCAGTAGCGTCCATGATGGGTAAAGCCGTAACATCACTCTGAACATCGCTACTAGGCGACCCGTGTTTGAATCTAGACTGGCAGAGATCTTTCCCTTTTTGTTGAAGATGGTGTCGGGCAAGTCGGAACCCTCAGTGCCCCTTTTGCCCCTAATCTTGCTAGCTTTGCATCTCAACCCCTCTACCTTCTCCATCTCACAAAGGATGTCCAGATTTTTAGGCTCGGCCTTAGCTTCTTTTCCAAGGTCTTCATGGGCCTCTTCAAGTTGATTGAGCTTGATTTCGGCTAAAGCTCTTCTATAAAGAGCTTTAGGATTGTTACCATAGCTTAATGACTAACGAGCAAAGCTCCTTAGTTTGTTCAAAATCACGGACTTTTAAGGCGCAAGTTACAAGGTTTAACTCAAGGGATATGGCAAGGTTCCATAAAAGAACACAATCATCTTCACCTCGTGGCAGACAAAAGTA